TTTGGATGTTAAAGCTAGTTATTAATTCTATTTCCTCAGGCCAAAGCAAAAGATGTTAATTTGCATTTTACACTGTAGACGCAGGTGGGTGAATCATTCTAAGAGAAGGTAAATAGCATCACAGATGAAATAAACCTGGAATGTCACTACAAGGACTAGAATAAACTCCATAAAAGTCAAGAGAGGCAAAGCTGTACTAAGCATCCATCTTTAGCTGGATTTATTAGTTCTGAAAATTATTTTATTTTTGATACCAGGAATTGAACCCAGGGGCACTTAACCACTGAGCTACACCCTCAGCCCCCACTTTTCAAAAAAACGTTTCATTATGAGACAGGGTTTCCCTAAGTTGCTTAGGACCTCACCAAGTTGCTGAGGCTGGCCTTGAACTTCTGATCCTCCTGCCTCAGACTCCGGAATCTCAGACATTATAGGTATGTGTCACTATGACTGACTATAATGGGACCCTTTAAAAATATAATGAAAACTTCTATTATTATGTTAATTATTATTAATGGCTGAAGTTACTATTTATGAAGTGGCTGAAGTTACTATTTACCACATCCAATGTTCAAGAGTCTTCATCTCTAGTATTACATTTATTCTCATAAAACCTCATGTGGTAGATATAATTGTCCCCATTTTATCCATGAGGAAATTAAGGTCTGGTTAGGTAGGGTGACTTCTCCAATATCACTCAGATAATCAGTGACTTTAGAGGCCAGAAAGAACTAATGTATGATACTGTCAAAAAGGTCAGTGTGTAAGATAGTTTTTGTAAGATCTTAAAAGATGATATCTGGTTATCCATCTCAGCCCACACTTGGTAAATCCTGTGAAACTGCCTAATGAAGAGCAGAGTTCTGCACCTTATGATTCACTGTGGATCCCACAAAGGTTGAGACTGACTGGAAAACCAACAGAGTTGAGACAGCATTAAACTCATCCTCTAAGACATTGTGTCTACATTTTCTACTGAGCCTGAGATTGGATGAGATAAATGCACACCAAAAGAAGAGGGGAAAAAAAGAGAACACTTTGCATTTTTAATTACTTGAACTAGTTATCAAAGCATCCAGATGGGAGAATTCCATATTCCTTTCCAAACAAGGAGTTAACATGTCCCCAGTGAAGAACCTGAAACTGGTGTTGGAGACAGAATGAGGCTTCCTTGCTCTTCCAAGAGACTGAGCAGGTCATGATGAGACCAGATAGCTGATACTGGTATTAGAAAGCTGAGCTGGTGCAGAATTAATAGAGCCACCCCTGACTTTTCCCATTTTGAGGATATGTTTTCCCCCCCACTCCCATTTTTTACATTTTTTTTAAATTTACGGATGGAACATTCTAAGGAAATACAGTTCTTTTGAATGTTCTTGCTACTTAGTAATAAATTCCAGTACAGAAATAATAAATGGTCTCAAGTTTACCAATGCTTTGGAAATCCATTGCTGCCAAATACAATTTCAGACTGTTAGTATGAGTCAAAGATTTCTCTCTTTTTAAAACTATATAAAGTTCTAGTCACTCACACTGTCATAAGGTCAGCAAAACATTTTATACTGTGAATTTCCTTAGTATGTTCCATTAAAAAATGAGAAATTGTGAAATGGGGTATAGTCAGACTCCTCAAAATTGGAATAGTTAGAGGGCTGGCTCTGTTAAATTTGCAACAGCTCAGCTTTCTTATACCAATATCAGATACCTGGCCTCAACCTGACCTGCTCTGTCCCTTAGAAGAGATCTTTGGCTTGTACTAACAGCATCAGCAACCTTCAGACCATTTATTATTTCTGTACTGGAATTTATTACTAGCAAGAACATTCAAAAAACTGTATTTACATAGGCAAAGTGTTATCTGGTACTTTTAGAGTAACACCCTAGAAAAAAATAGGAAAATATTACAGTGTCCCTTTCCCAACCTGTCCTGACAGGTTCAGAGACAAATCTAGACAAGATATGTCCATGAATGTGTAAATGCCCATGCTACAAAGACAAAAAATGACGAGTAGCCTCTGATCATAGAGATGATAGGAACAAGTAGATGAAAGACAGCTTTAAGAGAGAAAAATAAATGGAAGCACCTTTCAATGAATTCTCCTATTTTGGCAGTTTGGTTCATGGCCTGTGTAGTGATAAATAGTATCAGGGCCCATTTAATTCTGCAGATCCCATTGATCCTATAGGACATCTCTGTCATTTTAAATTTAAGAACAGTAATGAAGCAAACATAGTCCATTCTGACCACCTAGAATCCCCAGCACTTTACTTCCAGACTTCTATAAATTCTCTTTCTTTAAGACCTTATAAAACTAAATACCCAGATAGCACTTTTGACTAATGCAATTTTATATTCGTGTATGTGTTTATTTAAATTATATCCATCTTCCTCATCATAGAGGGCAGAAAGTATCTATTGTTCTTTCCATTATGCTAATGAAAAACCAGCCTCTACCTCAGAGCAAGCCTGTCCAAGGAAGGGACATCACCTTTGTCCTTGGAAAAACCCACAGAGCACTCCTAGGCACATTGCCACCCTGCTAAGTTGTTTATCTACAAATAACAGGAGAGATCTGCTGTGCCAGGTGTCCCTGACTCAGTCAGGCTAGGTGGAGATCCATAGCAACCCCCTAGCAGCCACCAATCAGCATGAAACAGGGAAATACCTGGGATGCCAGATGACCCTCCCAGTAGTTTATGGTAGTTGATAACCTGTTGGGAAACCATGTAGTTCAGCACGTACACCCCTCTTGGCTTAAACCAATCAGTTCAAAGGAATACCCCTTTTGTACTGACCAATCACCCCTATCCAACTTGTTCCTGCCAGTGAATGTGCTAATCATGTTTTAGAGTTGTTATTTGATTTTCCCGCGATGTGTGATGATTTGCTCTGATGTATATGAAGTCCCTGCCCTCTCCAAAGAATGTATAAAAATGCTGCAAACCCTGGGCTCGGGGCCTCTCAGCATCACCAGTTGCTGTGTGTGCATGCGGAGGACCGAGCTAGCTCGCAATAAACACCTCTTTGCTGCTTACATCGATCTTGGGTCTCTGGTAGTCTTCGGGGATCCCGAATTCGAGCATAACAATTGTTAAGTCCCAATTTCCCTTTGGGAAAATTTCCTGATTTTCAGAATAAGAATAAGAGGGCTAAGAGTGGAAGTCTTTTAATCGGGTCCCTCAAAATCAGTGTCTTTACTAAGGTAAACCAGGTATTAATCGCAACAGCACAGATCTACTCTGCCATTAAGAAGCTGAGTGATCTTGGACAAATAACTTTAACTTTTTGAGTCTGTTACCCTAATTATAAAGACAGAAATATTGATATTTATTACATTTCTCAGAATAACTAATCTTAAATGAAATATATAAAGCTTAATGAATTATCATGGCAATTTTTAAATATCTCTGTAAAAATTAATAACATCACAAATTTTGGGGTGTTGTTCAGGTCCTTAGGCATCAGTTCTTTGAAACCGAAAGGCCAAGGTGTTGGGGAATGAGATTGATCAAATTATATTATGTGTATATATAAATATAGCATGATATATCTGTATAATTATAATCTACCAGTAACAATTATTTAAAAAACTCAAAAGGCCTCATTTACTTACCTGAGAGGAATATGGAAGACTATTTAAATAAGAGCAATAAAAATGCTTCCTCCATGGAGGGGTGTGACTATTTAAAATCTCAGTGTAAATTCCACCTCAAAACGTGCTCTTATCACAAACAATTCATGAGTGGTGGACGGCAAATTACCTTTTAAAGAAATAACCTTACATCCACAGTGTGAAATTGTCAGAGTTTGAATTCTTAGAAATATTGTACCATAAACTGAACCACATGTTAAGAAAAAGCAACATGCAGTAATGATGCTGTCTCACTGATATTTACATATAATAAATCTCTGAAATCCTATAGACCTATTTCTTAAAATAGTTTTGTATGGCAAAGATCTAACTGGAAAATAATGATTATTTGGAATGTTTGTAAGCAATCAGCTTTTACAAAATGCATGTAAATTTAATTATCCTCAGAACCTAGCTTTTGAATTCTTCCAAAATACCCACAATGTATCATAAATACTGCATTTCTGCTCAGAGCAGTGATCTGGAGTCCCATGGTCTGCCACAGCTAAAATTCCTCCCTAAGGATAAGAGTGTCTTCCCAGCAATCCAGCTACTGAGTACCTAGAAAACTGGATGTAAAATTGTCAGCTCCCAACTATTTAGTGGGAGAAGGAATGCAAGCATTCCAAAGAATTGACAAAGAAAAAGAGATTCAGAATGTTCTTCCACTTCAGATAACTTCCTGTGTGATGTTTGATATGAAGACAGGTTACCAATCAACATTTTAGCCCAACCAACAGGGTAGGTGACTGAATCAACATGGAGCTAAAACCACAGCCTACAAAAGCCACCATGCTTCAGAACAGTAAATACAATGAATACACACACACACACACAAGGACTTCAGCAAGAATATAAACATTGGACACCAAAAACAGAGTTTTAAAACTAGAACAAAACATTCCATTAATCCATAATTTAAGGACACCTTAACTAATCAATATGGAAGGTCACATCACTTAACAATTACAAAGAGACACAGAGAGGCAGACAGACCATTGGGAGATTTTATGAGACAGCGCCACCTGCACCTATTTTCTTAAGTCTATTGCAACCATTTGCACCAATTCCATACTTTAAATGTCTGGAATAGCCTTTGGTCTCCTTCCAGGATCCTATCAACTTCCTTTTATTCCCAGATTATTTCTTCCATTAAACCTCTCTTTTAAGGAAATAGAGACGGGAATAAAAGGGTGGCAGCATAATGGAGGAGAGATGTTGTTTGTCACCACCTCCTTCCACTAAATTTTTTGTGCTTAGCAGAACTTCTGCAGGATTTTGGTCTGCACACCCACCAGTATAAGGGCCCCTGCCCCCAGAGAAGCTTACAGCAGAGTTCCCTCTAGCTGGATTCTCAGAGACACTTACAGCTTTCAATTTCCAAGGTGCAGTTTTGTTCGTCCAGTGGGTACCGCCGCAGGTCCATCATGCAGGCAGCTGTGGTTGTGATTCTAGAAGAGAAAGAGCAATATGCATCATTAGCAGGGCCATGACCTGAGCTGGAAAGTTAAACCCAGGTGTCTCAGATAAATCTGGACTCTCTGGGTGACTGTGATTTAGCCTAAGCTCTAAAGAAAAGAAGTGATGCAACTTTTGATAAAACACTATACTTTATGAGGCTCATCATGATGATTAGAAAGTAGAGACTGGACTAAATCAGTATTTCCCTAAGAGTGGACCATTAACTACTCATGCAAAAATCACCTGACAGTGTTTGTGAGGCAGGCAGTTCCCATGTCTGGGTGCAATCCCCCGGATGTTCTATCAACCACACAGGTAAATGAGAGACAAGCAATACTCCTCTTCCTCCCAGGTTTCCTCCTTCCTTTCTCAAGACCCTAAAATCGCATTTTTCAACAACGTTACCTTCAATCTACCATTTTTCACCTTTCTTTCTATAGTAGAGTATTATGCAAGTGCTTTAAAACGTTTAAACTTTACATCTCCTGAAGAAAACTAAGAGTACAAACTAATGTTGAATTTGACCAACTTATGCTTATTGTGAGGAGCACGATGCTCTGTGCTGGGAAGAGGGAAAAAAGATGTAGTTCTGGCTTGGAAAAAATAGTGTATAGTTAGATTTTTTTAATTAAAAGAACCTTGAGTACAGTTTAAACCTGTAATCCAAGTAGAAGGAGTGTATGGAATTCCTTAGAACAGCATAGGATTGTCAACTAAAGATTAAAAATATTCGATTCACTTAGTATAAAGAATCATTGCCTCCTAAGGTTGATAAACTTTTCTATAAAGGTTTATATTTTGTTAATTTTTGTTTTCCTTTTTTATACATCTGAAGATCACTCTGATTCCTTCCTTTTCTTCAACACACCCTGTTGGCTACTCTGCTTCAATTCCTTACCATTTCCACTGCCTCCCCGCTGAGTAGGTGTCCCCCTGCCTCATCTCCACACAGGAGCATAAATTAGATTTTATACTCCTTGGCTTAAATTTTTCAGTGATTCTTCCAAGAAAACCCCAAGCCCTGGCTATGGCCCATTATGTTTTGGAATCTCTGTCCATGTCCTTCTTCCTGATCACCTAACACACTGTGTCCTCGCTCAGTGCTCAGTGTCCTTCAGCCATGCCACCTGTTCTTTCTGCCTAGAACAAGAGTCTTCTAGGCCTACACAGAGCCCTCTCTTCTGATCATTAATTTCAGAATCACCTTCCCCAAGAAGCCCGTCCCCAGCAGGCCACCAAAGTGGCTGCCATGACTAATGGTCCATTTCAGGTTTCTACTCATTTCCTTTAAGCAATTACCACAATCTGAAATTATCTCGATTATTCATTTTTCTTTGAACTATTTCTTCTAATAAAGTTTAAGCTGTATAAGGGCACATTCCACTCTATTCACAGCAAGGCACTCAATATACATCTGTTGAATAAATAAACATATGGATTTTTAATGACGTAAGCAGTTGGTTTTGCTCACTGTAAATCTTTGTATTTGAAGGATTATTTTATGGTGTAATTTATATTCTTTTTTAAATTCATAATGTGTCTTAGGTTATAAAGGTTCTTTTAATATTTTGAACAATAGATATAACTTAACCAATTTAAGCAACCCTACATAAATAATACTAGAGTTTATCAGATTGTCAGTTTGATTACTTTTGCTTTCATTGAGATTTACCAGATTTCTATATGCCATAAATCCTATTAAAACTAACATTCGAATCTCACTTTTTTTATCAAGGTTGAAACATTATAATTCATTTTAACTAAGTGATACTTATATGAATTTCTCACTGGTCCACTGATTGTTTTGTTCATTTGTGTTTTTAGATGAAGATACAATCTGAATTGCTGCTAAAAGACACATGAATATGCGGAATGGAAGGTTTCAAGGGACAAGAGATTAGATACATGATAGGCATACCAAACACCAGTATTACCCTTGTAAAATAGCAGAATTAATTCCTACCTGCAGAAATGGAGAAAATTAAATTCATTGAATAAAATGAATCCAGAAGACATGAACAGACATGAACGGTAGAAAGGCATACACATAATCAAGAAGGCGACAGGTACAGAAGGACAAACTGCAAGTGAGGTGAAATCGCAGTGTTGCTATAGGTGGTGGGTCAGTCTTTGTGATAATGCACATTCATGGCAATCGCCATCTCTGAACCATTGCCATGGACACCAGGAAAATAAAATAGCTAAGGCTATCACAGGAGCAAGTCCTCTTCATATCTTAAAAATAAGTAGAAGAAAGTGTTTTCTCACCACATTCATACTTATGTCTGTTTTACTATTTTTTAATTGCACAATACATTATACAGCTAACAGACATTAAAATATTTTCTATTAACTATTCACAAAGCATTGGTAAGTGTCTCCTATTGGACAAAAGTAGGAAATTTGGAGCTAAAATCAACCATTTGGAATCTTGATCTGTAGTTACTGACACTTGGTTGCCCTGTTTTGCAAATAAAAACCTGCCATCCTAATTTGTTGTAGGATGGCAAAAGTAGGAAGAGATTTGTAACTCATAAAATGTTCTGCACCTTCTGCTGTAGTTATTACTACCTGCTAATGAGTAGATACCATGATAAGATATTTTACCACAATTTATTGTCTAGGCACAAGTTTATGCAAACGAAGAAGTGTAGAATATAAAAACTTATAAATAAACCGTATATATGTACATATATATGGGTGTAAATAACTTCCCAGAACATAAATATGCAAAATGAATAATTACTTTACATGTATGTATATGGAACTCTGTCAGACAGACTATATAGATGCATAACAAACCTGCATCTTTTTCAAGTGTTTTCTGAGATCAGGAACCACAAACAATTTTGTCATGTTTGCATTTTAAGTACACATTCCTGGTACAGGTCACCAATTTAAGATGATGATGATGATGATGATGATGATGATGATTATAATACCCATAATAATGAATTAAAAAGAAAAAAATCTATGATTATAAGCATTCTCAAACTAAGAATTTCTAGGCAATTCTCCTTAAGTGCCTAATTTATGTAAAAATTCTCAAGTAAATATGAGAGTCAAGTCATTGTTACTGAAGAAGTTATCATGGAAGGAATCTTATTCAGAAAAGCCTATCAATGAGCATCTGAATCTGTTCTTTGGGACTTTTTGATTTAAAACAGGACAGAGACTCTACAGGAATAAGTCAATGCAATAAACACAGTTAATGGGCTTTTCCTGAACATGCCTCTGTGGATCCTGATAAACTTCAATAATGGCTTTAAGTATCTCAATGCCCCTACACTAGCAGGAGACTATGAAATGAGGCTAGAAGACTTTTATGCAGGTATCCTGATTAGGTTTTAAGAAAAAAAAATTATATATATATATATATATATATATATATATATATATATATATATGGAGATAGCTCTGCCTTCAAGCAAAGGAAACAGTAAACTATGCTCTGGAATGTGCCTTGTTTACCTCTGGCAAACCATCTATAGTCAAAGCTGGAAATGTCTTCTGTGGGGATGAACTATACCACATGATAAAAGCTGTGCCTGAAACTGTCAATATTCTGCTTGGGCAAAGAGGTCTTTGGATAAATTTTTTACTACTTAGCTATTGGCTGCTGTCACCCCAAAATGACTTTTGTCATAAAATACTAATGTACAGCAAGAAAACTAAGTACACCACATAGCCCAAGGAGTCACTAAAGGCATGTATAAAACCAAGAAATACAACAGCTCAGCCAGCATTTTGTACCAAAGCCATAACAGAAATTTTATAGTGTTATGACCAGAGAATTAACAATGCTACCATATCATTCCAAGTGGGATATTATATTGTGAATTCCAGTTTGGATAAGACCAAAGGCAACTGTTAAGTAATAACTGATGGTTTTGTCACTCAGTCAATATGAAAAGCCATAGAATTATAATTAGTGTAACATCACTTAGGCCTTTCTGCAGATTCTTTAGGATTCAGAGTCACACAAGTATCTGAGCATGTGAAAACCTGGTTAGAATTTCAACCAGAGCTTATAAGGAGTAAATAAAGTGACTTTGTACTTATGCTTTGGTTGATTCTTTCATACAGGTGACAATCCAATTCCATAAGAATTTATTGAACATCTTCATGTTAAAATAAAATCACATGACTTATTCACAACTTTATTTGAAACATACTGTCCTGATACACAGTATGCTTTTGCTTTGCTAAAATACACATTTACTTAAAAGCACAACATATTTTAATTATGAAGGATAAAAGGATCGTCTGGCACTGGGATGCATCATTATCACAGAAATATCAACATGTTAAAAGTTCAGTTATCAAAAAGATATCAATATGTATTTTTGCAAGCTTTAAAGCAAAAAAAAAAAATCTAAGTTCAGAATTTCAGATAGGCAAATAAAAGGTCCAAATACTGAATTTAAACATTAGTGTATGAACCCAAATTTCGAAAAGTTCTCATCTGATTCTCTTCCCTCAAAGGTCCTTTAAACACTTCTGTTGTCCTATTCTAAAAGAAGACATTATTCTGTGTCTTGCAACCATTTGGGTTGGGAAACTAATCTCTCCCTTCTAACTCTCATTACTGTTGTGTTTTATGGGATAAATAGGTAGAACATTGTTATGGGAGGTAGGTAGCTTCGGCTTTGGCTCTCTCACTTGTGACAAACATACCTAATATTAATTGATGACTTACTAATAAGTTCAAAACACCATTCTGTGTTACCGAAATGTATTTCCTCAATTAAGTCCGATTGCTATTCTCATTTTATAGATGAGAAAATTGAGACAACAGAAAGTGGTTTTCCCCAAGAATCCCATGGTGAGTGGGAGAGGCAGGATGTGAATCCAGGAAGCTTTGCAGAGTCCATGTATTTAATAGTATGCTTTAACTAACTAGCTAGATGACCTTGATAAAGTAATTCAGCCTCTCTGGAAGATTGGTCAATTTCTTATAGCCCAAACAAGCTTAGAAATTCTATAATCC